AATATCAAGGGAGGTCATTGGGTGAAACTTTTTTGGAGGGGGGGGGGGGGGGGGGGGGGTTTGTGGGGGCTGGGATTTCTTGCTAGGACACTTTGATATAAAGATTCATTTATTTCAAGGTATTGAACAGGGAATCCTGAACTACAACGATTGAATTATGTTCTGGATGCTAAAATTCGACGACTGAAATGTGCACTCAAGCACATTTACAGTGAACAGTGAAGGCTGCACAATGGGAAGAAGTTTTCTTGGTGATCGTTAGACCTAGTTCTCACAGCATGTCTATTATTGAGTCATTGACCTAAAAAAGCATGTTGACTGCCTATACCATACATGACCTGTGAAGGCTGTGATATGGGAGATGATGCATGTGCTCAACAAAGATATGAGTAAGCATATGCTTATTTTTCTTTTTGGCAAGTAAAAGACTGAAAAACACCTCTACTGGTAGATTTTGCCTTATCTTGATAATGTGATGCATTTCTTACTGTGTATTTTCCATTTTTTTTTCTGCATGGGGGTTGGCCTCAATGTAATTCTGTATAATCAGTTATGGAGGAAAAAAATTCCATACCAGCAAATGCTTTTTCTATTGGTAGTTTGCAGCTCTCAGAAAAATGTTTGATGTTAGTTTTGGTTGATTTGCAATGGTGACTGTCTTCTACATATTGATAATGATTAATCTTATATTTTCTTTAAATATACAATGGGGTTAAAAGAACCAACTGCAGGAGGCAGCAAAAGTAATCTTTATGGTATGATTTTGTTTGAATATATTTTTGGACGTTGCTTCAATAAGACAGGTTATTGCTGAGTGTTAGCTACTTATGTTATAACTTGCATAATTTAGGTGCCCTTTCGTTTCTATTTTTCTATCTCCTTTGTTCTTTAACTTCATTTTTATTGGGAATAAAATAACCAGCGGTGGCTGCCAGAGGAGGAATGGAGACGCTTAGGCCTGCTTTGCAGCGGGTGTACATGACAAGAGCTTCTGCATATAGAGATGCACTCAAAAGTTTCATCGAAGGGTATCAAGAAGGTATACAGCAAGTCATGGACAAGAATGAAGATTCTAAATCCGAGCAGGAAGAGGATAAGCCCAAAACATCGAGTTGATCTTTCTAATGAGAGTCCACTTTTCTTAGTTCTTTGCAGCAAATGAATTGAGTTTTCCCCCCTCACCTTTTTTTTTTTTTGAAAAAAGCAGCTTCGCAGTTGTAAAGTCTCATTTGTTGTGTTGGCCGAAGTTACAATAGTCACATTGAATCCTCGAATATCTCAAAATGATCTTTCGGTTCTGGGCGGAATTTGGAAAACTCCTTTTCTATGGGGGCATTGTGCAGCTTTGCTATTGTGATGTTTCTAAGGAATTACCTGAACAATCAGAAATTGAATATTATATGTATCTGGATAAGCTTTTGCTTATTGAATTCAATCTTCAAATATTTATCATCCATTTTTTTGTTCTGATATGCGCTCACCATATTATATGATATTAGTGAAAGGAAATGGATGTTTAATATTTACAAATGTCTTCCAAAAATTGTGTTGAGTGAGATTGACCCAATATTTTCAAAAATGAATGAATGAATGCTTCACAACTATGAACATAGTAAGATTGGAAGTACTTGTCATCGAAGAACAATTACCTCACCAAGGTGACTTCATGGGGCCAACCAATCTCCCTCTGCTATCTCCTCCAAAGCTTTCAAGAATCGCACCCAAATGAATGTCTCCCCTATTAGCATACTCTTGTATAGAGATTCTGTTTTAATACAAGGAGAATGCTTAATGCCTATTTGGAATGTGTTACGATATTGTTTTTTATTTTTATTTTTATTTTTTATATTGGTCTTTAAATTTGGGCCCATATCATGTTTGAAACGATTGATATTGGTTTAGAATATTTCATAACAAATCAGATTTTTTGGCCCAAACCCATATTATCAAAATTGGTGATATTGTGTGTTTTGATACTATAGCAGATGAACTAAAACAAATTTCTGAATTTTCCAAAACAAATTTTCGTTACCAAACATGGTTCCGATTTCTACCCAGAACACTCCTATAACAAAACAGTTATTTTGATATTGACAAAAAATATAACGACTAAAACATATCGCATTCCGAACGGGCCCTTAGTAATAAATATGAATTTCTTTCTCCATATGCCTTGTATTCATTACCCTAATTATATTTTGGGGATCAAAATTAAACATAATTGCTTTATAGTGACCTTAAAATCAAGAAAAGGTGAATAGTGACCAATGTTGAAACTTAATTGATATTAAGTGACCATTTGAGGATAATTTGGTCAAAAATACTTAAAGATTTGATAAACATTTTAAAAATAAAATTTAGATGACAAAATTGCCATACAAATAATAACTCATTGAATTCATCCTCCTACTCTCTCTCTAATCCAACGTTTTCTTTTTTCCTTTTTAGTTTGCAATTTACAAATTTAAAAAATTAGAGTTGCTTTATCAACATTATCTCTTTTCCACCTTTTATTTATTTTTCAAAACTCTCCACCATGAACGCAAAACATAATATTTACAGTGGTAAATCAAGAAAAGAAGTTTCATCCCAAAATGCCCTTTATAGAATATTTATAGAGTCGGGTACCTTCTCACTTTGTTACTTTAATATATCATCTTTTCTAAATGATTCTAGGAAAAATTATAACTATACCTTGCAAATAATAAATAAGAAGAAAGTTTACAATTTTCTCGTCCTGCCTCCTAGAACCTTGAAGAAAGCAATGTAGAACATTTGTCCTCGGTTCTCTCCCATTTTGGTCTTCTCTTTAAAGACTCATCCTAATAATTTGTCGTCTTTTGTTAGTAAATTTAAGCAAATGTTTATTTAGGTTAATGTAAAGGGTAAATTTGTCCACTTACATAATAATATATTATAAGAAGGTTATTTAGGTAATAAACCATCAAATGGTGACTAAATATCAATTAAGCTTTAGCATTGATTACTATTCACCTTTTCTTGACTTTAAAGTCATTATAGAGCAATTATGTTTAATTTTGGTCACCAAATATAATTTTTCCAATTTTTTCATCTGCCCAAATATAGGCGGAAGATAGGAGAGAAGAAAAGTGAGCCTATTATAGAAGTTTTAAATTACTATATCACCCTTCATAAATATTTAATTAATCCCATAATTAAAATATGGGATATGTTTAATGGTAAAAATAACTTAAAAATTTATCTTTCCTTTTATCCCGATAAAATTAAATTGTTAGTTTTTTTTATTCTCTTCCATCAAACCGAACAAAAAAGGGAAACACTTCTCTTCCCTATGGATGTCTAAGTCATCCATTCTTCTCTTCCTTCTATTCAATTTTTTTCCTTCCTACCCAACGGAGTATAAATGGGTATAAAAAGAGACATTTTATATTGAAACCCCCTTTAGTGCATTAGCACTCCCCAAGTCCTCATTTACTTAAAGCAACCCTACAATAAAACACACTATCTCCACACTCTTGGGCTTGTCTTGCTGACTTTGCAGCTTAAAAGTTGGGTGGGTTAGGACGGGTTTTGAATGAATTAGTAGCCCAATACCACCTTGCCAGTGGCGGGTCATGAATGGGTCAGGACTCAAATGAGCAAGTCAAAAGCGGGTCAACCCACTTCAACCCGTTTTTCCCTCCTCGCAAACTGGATCTTTTGTCCATGAAGAAATGACAAACATGTGATATTGAAAAAAAGCAAGTTCAAAATGACAGACAAGGTTTCATTTTTTTTTCTTTTTTTTTTTTTCAAAATGACAAACTAAAATCAAAACCTTGTACTTAAAAAACAACTAAAAAATAAGAATGATCAACTTAATTTAATTTGATGAGGAACAACGAGCCTCCAAATTCAGCAAATCCATCCTAGTACCCAACAGAAGACAAATCCTCAAATAACGAACACTGACTATAAATCTCTCTCAGGTTCTTTTAACAAACATGTATGGAAAAAAAAGAAACCAGAATTCCCTCCCAAATAAGAAAACGGAGAATCAGAGCGTTTGAAGTCCAAGATTCTTATCCAACAGAGAAAGGTTCACATCGTAGCTTCAATTGAGCCCCGACATTGAAACAAAAGAACTGGAGCAGATCAATTATAGAAGCATAATAAAATAAATCTCTCAGGTTCGAACACGATTGTAATCAATCTAAATAGCATAGGCAAACAACCTTGATAAAAAATCAAATAAAAAAATAATAATAATGTATATGCTAGTCTTGCGGTTGAACTACAGTTAAGCAAAAGGATTTAGATTATAGCACCCCACATAAATTTTTTACTGTGGCTCATCTAGAGCAGTTTCAGTTATGTTCCAGTAGAATTTTATTTGGGATCGTGTGAGAGAATTTTTTAGAGGTAGAAGAGGTCAATTTGAGGCAAATAAAGGATGTGAACTGTCTCTCTTATACAATGGGTGAAACATAGGTCAAAATGAGTGATCCATATTCAATCCATTTAATCTTTTATAAAAATGGGTTAAAAATAAATCATCTATTTTGACTCATATTTTAAAATGATTCATCCATATTCATTTTAAAACAGACAGATTGATGGATCACATGACCCATTTTGCCACCACTAATTCTAACATAGCAGACCATCCTTATAAGATTTCCATTCAAACTATATTTCTTCATCTCTTTCCCAATTAACTTTCCATTCAAACAATATCATCATCCACAAGACATTCCGTTTTGTATTCCAATCTAGAACAAATATTAAGAGAATAACCTTAGTTCATAAATTAAACTAGTGCACACCAGTAAGAATGAAAAAATATTCAAACTGAACAAAAGCCCACATCAGATTGATCATTAATTTATCTGTTACTTTTGTCAGTGATAATTTAGCTGAACTAAATTGTGCCGGTTTAGGTTTTCTTTTGTCTGAACTGTTCTTTAAAACAGAAAGAAATGCAGGTAAATACCGATAAAATAAAAAAAATAATAAAAAAACAAAAAAAGAAGCAAAAATGACTTGTAAATCTGCAAACATATAAGAACTTGCAGCATGAGCGTTTTCAGTTACAGTAGGACTTTTGTACAGGGAAAACCTCGCTTGGATTAGCACAAACTTTCTACAAAATTCTGTGAAAATTAGCCACAGTTTTCATGTAAATGTAGCAATAACAGCTAAAATAGAGCAGCTCTTAGTAGTTGGTACAAAGCATAAATCAACAAGATAAAATTTCACCACTTCATCTTCTTGGTTTCTCTTTCTCAGCCAGGGGTTCCGCCGCTACTCTCTCTTTCAAATAACTACATGCATTCTGTCTCAGCCACTGCGATTTAAAAAACTCTCATTAGTCTAAACCAAATGATTAATCAACAAAAACAGAACTCACCGTTTTGATCTTCTTGCATTCGGTACTTCCCCTCTGGCTTCCACTGGCCTCAACTTTGAACCACTACCCTGCAATATAGCAGGTCTCTCCTGAACAACATTTCCAGGATCTCGTGAAGGCCCCCATTGCCGGGTGGGACTAGCAAAGTCCCTAGCAGACCCTATTCTAGAACTAGACAATATCTGGTCCCTAAGACCCTTCGTTGACCTATATCTCAGCATATCATCCCCATAACCCTTTCTTTGAGCTTGCCTCTCAAGTTCATAGAATCTCTCTCGGTCTAATACATCTCCTGAGTTCTGAATGCTTTCAGTTTGGATGCTCCATTCAACTCCATCTGACATGCTCCTTTGAATAGAAGTGCTTCTCCTTGGTGCTTTCCCAGAAGTAGAGTTCCTTCCTTTGATTTCAACATTAATTGGAACTCTCTTAGAATCACAAGCAGCCACAGAAGAATATGTAGATTTGTAGTTCTTAATATTGTTGTCCATGTTCAATTCTATGGAATGGAGATCACTTTCAGCCGAGTCTTCTTCACAATCTACCCCGTCCTCCACTTCTCCATCCTTTTCCTTCCCTTCACTCTGATGGGAGACAAAACGAGCTCTACTTCTTAAATGGGTTGTGATTTCTTCATCATTTCCATGATTTAGAGAACCACGCCCCTTTTCTTTAGTTCGTTTGGTTCTCAAAATAGATTCAAGTTGATTCCTTAGCTTGTCAACAACTGCATTTTTCTCCTCAAACTGATGTTTAGCCTCCGAAAGTTTCATTTGAACTCTCTCCTCACGCAACATGTCAGCTAATTGAAGCATCTCCCTTTCCATCTCAACCTCTTCATGAATTTTTTCGGACTCCCTCTTCATTTCTTCCACTTCAGCTTTATCATCATCCATATCCCTGGATAATTCGCCACACACTTGTTCCATTACTTCTCTTGCTCTCTTCTCACTGTCAAGTTCTTTCACTGCCTTTGTGAGTACAGCCTTTGTGTCTGCTAATTCTTTCCCAAGCTTCTTGTTCAAGCTCTCTAATCGTCGCCTCAGCTTCCTCTCTACTTCGAGTTCACCAGCAACAGACTCAATAGCAGCCTCAATCACTTGACACTCCTTATTTTTCCATGATGCCTTTTCTTCAGCAAAACACTTCATAAGATAATCAATCTCATTTTGGTCTGAACGCTGTTCATGAATCAGCTGGTTGACCTGCAAACGAGCCCTCTCAAGCTCAGCATGTAAGGCAGAGATAAGGGACATGCTTGACGAAGTCTGCTCGTCATGAGCCCAAATGCGGTTGATTATTTTCAATAGCTCTTTTGATGTCGTCAATGCATTACTGACATCCCTCAAACGGGGTTTAACTCCAACTATGGAGCCACAAGGAGTCTGGCCTCGTGATCTAGTCTCAATCTGCATTGTAAAGGAGAAAATAAATACACTGTTCCCCTTTATAACTTATAACACATCAGAGAGTATTTTAGTGAAAATAAAAATAAAAATAGAAGAAAAACTGTCATCAAATGTTTCTAATAATCATGCTCACGATACAGTTATTAGAACAGATTATCTGTAGTTTTAAAGGAGGCAGTGAAGGAGTGTGTCAATTAAAATAACAAAGGTCACTTAGAGTTCATGCAAGCTAATGAAATAAATATGAATTCCATTTGAGTGTAATTATTTTGTTTAAGAAGAACATAATCTGCTCTAACCTCCATTAAACTGGCACTGCTAACAGAATCCAAAACTCCAACACTGTGGTCTGCAAGCCTATGCCTCTGCGAAATTGATGATGGCCGTCTCTGGCGACTACCGGTTCCAGATTGATCAATCCTCTGCCAAAAAAGAGGAAAATGAAAAAGAGAACTAATTAGTGCATGTTAACCCAATGGAATTGATTAGTAAGACAATGTGTAAATGTGGTGATGAGTTCCCTCTATGAGGGCATAAAGCAAATTGAAATGAAGTTCATAAAACAGTCTCCTTAATAACATTCTATTATAAACGAGAAGCCTTAAAAAATAATAATAATAATAATTTTTAAAATTATATTGGAAATGCTATAGATTGAGTCAAAATTTCAATTTATAAGCCAATATATATACTCCATAAAACATCAACTCTGCCTAATACAGCCATTTGTTTCAACTGATTTGAGGCTTTCTTTCTTTTTCGGAAAAAAATAAAAATAAAATACAACTAACATAGGATGAAACAGAGTTGAAGGGAATTTAATTGAGTTTAAAGATGTAGTAGATGACATAAAATTAAGAAGCTGACCTCGGAAATAGGACTGTGTGATGGATCAGACAAATGGGGAGGAAGCGAACCCGATCGAACGGACTTGGGCACCCCCATTCTGTCTCTAACCCTCATATCTTTCTTCAACAACTTGTTATTGTCTCTGAGAGAGGGCGAGGGCGACGGAATCTCATTCATCTCCCAGAGCGTAGCGGCCAGCTTCCTGGCTGAGACAGGGCGGGACTTCCCCCCTCCGGTCTGGGAGGGAGCGTACACAGGGGAGTCTGGCGCGCGTAATGTGGAGGCGGTGGTCCTCCAGGTGGGGACGGGGGTGCTGGACCTGGATCCACGAGGTTTACCGACTAAAATGGCCCCACGCTTGAATCGGTAATTCTGGAGCACAGAAGAGGAAGACGAAGAAGAGGAGCAACCCCTTTTCCGGATCTTGCAATATCCGGGAATCAAACCCTCCATAGTCCGATTGTGTCTGGGCATTATCACTAGTTTGGTGTGTTAGATAGATAAATAGAAAGAAGACAGAATGTGTATCTGATGGGAAATTGAGTGATGATTGAGATCTGATGGAGAATTGAAGTGTACGTAATGGAAAAACCCTAACCCTAGTAGTAGTAAGGTGAGGTGGGTGAAAAAGGGATAGTAATATTGATTTCACAGGTGGACGGAGTAGGGTAGCTAGGAGGAAGGATATTGATGAGTGGCAGTGGCGCTGATGATACGCAACACAGGCACAATTAGAAGAACAAATGAGGTTGATTACATGATAGTGTACCTGTGGGTTGATTTGTTGGGAAATTGCAAATCAAATCAGATCTGATCCAGATAATTGATGTGTAGATGTAGATGTAGATGGGAAGTTGGGAACCCTAACTTTAGCAGCTAGGCAGGAGGAGGAGAGTGTGTGTGACTTTGTGAGAGAGATCATATCATATCATATCATAGCATAGCGGTGCTGTAGTAGTAAAGTTAGTTTGAAATGATATACTGTAATACAGTGTGTATTAGTAGTATGAGGTTTTTTTTTTAGTATTACTGTCATAGTTGCACATCAAAAGTTTTGATTTCATAGCTGCAGTTAGTAGCCAACTACAAATCGAATCAGTGCGTGATGATATTATGATACGCACAAGATAGCTATGAAATCAAAACATAGCCGACAGCGTGTCAGAAGCGCATTTGTGTAATTAGCGATGGGTAAATCTTGCAGTCAAAGAATTGCATTTGTGGAGGTCTCGTCAGTCCTCGCTACAATTACGAATTTCTCCAACTATTTTTAAAATCAACATTTAAAGATGGGTATACTATTGAAAAGCAATGAATATTGCATATTCAATTTTTTAAATGCGTATATGTTAATATTTCAGTGATACTTTTATTTGTTTCTTATGTTTATTTTTATTTATTTATTTATTATAAGTTTTACTTAAAGAGACGGTTAATTTCATGTATTTAGAGCTTATTGCAATGATCCCGAGACTTAAAGACATATTCGGGGCTTTCTGGATCAATTCGAGACTCAAACGGGAAAGATTTGATGAAATTAGGTATTTAAGGCTCGAGCACACTAATTAGTGCTTGAGCATTGATAGAAAATTTTGAATCTGCTTTTAGTATTTTGGACATAACTTTTTACTTAAAATTTCAAATTGGACAAACTCAACGGCTATGGAAAGAAGACTCGAAGCCCGATGTTTCTGTGTTTGATAAAAATTTCGAGATTCGTACTCCAAATATGTCAAAATAGCATTACAATGTCTTAACAATTTGTTGAAAAAAAAACAAAGTGTTAAGACTGTGCTCGAGCATTGTCATCCTAGAACTTAAAAATACATGCGGGAAACACTCCTTTTTAGTTCTAGACAGGCCCAAGTGACTCCAGAAGTTGTAAAGCCCATCCAAATAGGATTAGGACTCGTTCTCCATTATAAAAGAATATGAAAAGACACATTGAAGAGAACTATCTCTTCTTCCTCTTGGTTCTCCTATTTTGTGGTAGTTTTTAGGATTTTGAAGATTGAAGATTATACTTGGTGGTCCATGGAGATGGCTTCTACACTAACAATGATGATATTCTTCCTCTCCCTGAGTAGCTAAAGCATTCCTTAGGGAATTGATGTAACCCTAGTCTAAGTAGCATGGATTGATTATTATTTACTTTGGGGATTTTTATATGTATATTGATTGCATGGTTTTAAGCAATAGACTTAGTTGTACTAAACAATTGGATTTTAATGATTATAATCAGTTTCAATGAAATTAATATATTGTCTTAGAATAAATTTTATTATAATTGAATTTAACATTTCTATTGTGAGAGGTTGGCGGCTAAGGGTTTCTCTTAATGGTAGGAGTGATTATCATGCAATGGTGCTTAAACGAATATGTGAATGAATGTTTTGATAATTCATGCTTAGGAAAGACGAGTTGTAATGCATAGTAGATTAGAGTAGTTAGGTAGAAAATTCGTGTCAACCAAATATGAGTTATAGCTTAATGTTTATTCATGTAAACCTTCCTAATTGAATTAAAGTGTGCTTGTAGACACTTGATTCCCGAAATATACATATGTGAATTTCCTCATAATTGAAGTAATTGACCATGTTAGAGGCTAGCGGTGAAGTTAATCCCTAAGTTCTTCTCACTTTGATCTCATCCTTTGTTAATTTAGTTTATTTTTAGTTGTAATGCAATTTAGATTTAATCAAACAACAAAATCATCTTTTCATTGAATTAGATTAAGATTAATCTTATACTACAATCCACCACAGTTCTTGAGGTTCGACACCCCTAACATAAAACCACTCGCAATAGTACGAATTCTTGTAGGATCGGGTTATGTTGAGGGTGTCGAATACTTAGTAATACTTAGGGCTTGACTTCACCATGAACCTCATAATATTGTAAATTAATTCAACCTTAGGGATTTCAATATTTATGCATGATCAGGAATTAAATAAATTAACATTCAATTTAATTCAAATTTAAGAAGATAAATAATGAATTTACGTAAGTAATAACCTATCTTCTGTTGGCACGAATTGTATATCTAACTACTCTAATCTAGGGTGCAGTACAACTCGCCTTTCCTAGGCATAAATTATCAACACATTCATTCATAATATAATTTAAGCACTATTGCATGATCACTATTCAGATCGTTATGAGAAACCCTTAGCCGTCAATCTTAAACAATAAGAATAGTTTGGATTTGATTAAAGTAAAATTAATTATGAGATAAAAGTCAATTTTAACAAAAACTAATTTTATTCATTAAAACTCCAATTGCTTAGAAACCCTAAGTCAATTGCTCATAATTATGCAATTAAAATACATAAATAATGAAAATCCCCAAAGTTAAAAGAATAATCAAACCATATATATTATTCGGATTCGAGTTACATCAATGTCCTAAGAGAAGATTTAGCTATTCATGAAGATGGAGGATAACATCGTCGTTGGTGTAAAAAGCATCTCTATGGACTGCAACTCTTCTTCTTCAATCTTCAAAGAGAACTTCCAAAACCCTAAAAGCCGCCGCGAGATCTGAAAATTGCCAAAGTTCTTTTTCTTTGTGACCTTTCATCTTCTTTTATAGGAGAAACCGACTTATGCTCCTTCTTAGATGGGCTTTAGGACTTTTGGGGTTATTTGGGCCCATCTGGAACTTAAAAGGACAGATTTTAGAATAATCCCGCACTTAAAAGAAACTTTCAGGATAAAAAATGCTCGAGCACAAAATTCTGTGCTCGAGCATTTTTTTTTTCATACTTAGCCATTTTTTTCATCAAATGTTTCCGAAGCGTCTTTTCTTCCAATACTTAGAATATTTTTCAACTTTCTTGAATTTTTTGCTCAACCACAAAATCTTGTAAAATGAACAGTGAAATAAAATGAAAAGAGAAGGGAGAGAGAAAGAGACAAGGCCGATTGCAGAGAGAGAAGACCAAAAATGTGTGGGTCTAAAGCACTAACTCCTTTTATACCGAGGGTCAAATTGCAGGTTCCGTTTTTCACTTGATCACTTAAAACAGTCTATTCAAGTCCCGAACACTGTAAATCACGAAATGCAATGCAAATCAAATATCCTAACACACAAATGAGATAAAGAAACAATGTCGTAAAATTTTCCGAACTCGGAATTCTCATCGCGGGACCCACTCGGACCCTTTTGACCACGAAAACCAAAAACGACCAAAATGATCCAAATGAGTTTCTAAGGGTTTTAAACTTAAAGAAATATCTCAAACAAAAAGATCGTGACACATATCCCATGTATAAAAAAAATAAAATAAAAATATCCAAAAAAATATATCTATATTCAAAAAATTCCAGATGTCACATAAATATTCAGCACACACTAAGAAGTGAAACTGCACCATACCATTATCTACATATAAAAGCAAAACTTCACAAGACAAAGGAATCGTCTGAACTCCTTGGCTATCTTACACATGTCAGCCATTGACTCTGAATCTGTTCCATTTGATAAAGTAAATGAAATCAAGTACAGATTGCACAAAATGAAAACATAGAGAGAAACAACAAGTAATAATTTCCATAATTTAAGCCCAGAAGTTAGATGAGGGTGATACATTCAAAAATTGGACAATACTCTCAAATTTTCATTTTGTTTATTTATTTATTTATTTTTTTGCTGATTCCATATGCTATTCAAACCTTTACGTTTCTTGTGTGTGTGTGTGTAAACCTGCTTATTTTTTTAACAAAGTCAAATTTATATTCTTGCCTTGCTCTGAGGGAGCCTTACGGTGTGGTTGGCAAATGCTTTCTGGCTGCGTGTATACTTCACAATATATATACACATACATAGTAGCAATGTGAAGTCTGAAATGAAGATTGGAGTGTACTGAGACAGAAAAATCTCAGAAATCTTTCCACCTAGGCTCGGCAACTGTGGTGTTGCGACACAGGGGACTATCGGAATCCTAATTGACCCGCCTGTTAGGATATGTGTGCCCTAGCATAGCAAATTCTAATTTTGGATTGTAGAAGTCATGGTTTCTTGTCTGGATATTATTATTAAAGCATTATACAATTGGTGAATAGAATGTATTAGTTTTCGATTCTTTATGGAATTGATGGTGTCCGCTTGATTACAAAATATATTTATATATGTATGTAATGGCAATTAATACTATGATATAAATTAGTAATCATAAATGGTTTAAAGTCGGTAATTATGGATGGACATTTAATTAGTTAAGACTTAAACCGAGTCCACGATAGATTGAAATATATTGCGAGAGCTGTCGTATGCAATTGCTCTCTATCACAGTCATGGTTTTTGACTCTCAAGCATGAGAGAAGTATAGACTCTTTTATTAATTAATAATTACTTTGATTTGCTCGGCGGATACCTCGGGATCCTTAGATCGACACTTTGGGTAGTTATGTAATTAATAATTAGAGGTCTATATTCTCAATATTTGCATCAGTGCTATTTGTATTTATTTTGTTTTGATTATGGTTGATCACAAATTAAATTCGAAGGCCTTCGTATGTTTTAGACAAATGTTTTATATATATATTTATTTAATAAATTATTATTATTTTTTGTCAAATAAATATTTTATTGTGATCGAGCCGGAAATAATCAAAGGTAACAAAATAATTATATTAATTATGTTGTCGGATTGATGGCTTTAATTATCCGATAAATAATTAAGCATAGAGGGGTCAAAGTGCAACATTGACTTAGAGGTTATTTACTATTTAATTGGAGTGCAATTAATTTCTTTTAGTGGAGTAGAAATTAATTTATGAATTAATTGAATTGGGTCCATGGTTTAATGGACCGGACCAATTATTAATTTATAAGAGCCAAGAAAATAGTAAGCCCAAAAGGATTCTCACCAATAGCCCAAGTTGATATTGGAGTCATGTTAGGATTGAGAAAGTTGAATTAGAGATGGAGAATGATTTATTGTTTCCTTATTCTTATTTTATTTTGCCTATATATACATGAGTTCATGTATATTTTAGGTGTGACTTGGAGAACAAGAAAAAGGAATACACTTTCTCTCTCTAGATTTTAGGGTTTTGTTTCTCTTCT